GGTCGGTAAACAGCAGTGCATCCTAGGGGTCAATACTGGGTTCAGTCCTGTTTAACATCTTCAAGATGACAAAACAAGATGACCTTCAAAGGTCCTTTCCAATTTTAACCATTCTGTGAACAGCATGGGATCCCAGTGGGATTCAGGGTGCAACAGGAAAGGGAATCCTACAGCGGTTTAAAGCACAGAAAACATTTTCAGACATGGTAAAAAATTGCTAATTGAAATTTTAATGAAAGTAGAAACCCATAAAACTCCTCATTCACTATTATGTGGTCTGTCAAAAACAGCATTTGCTCCTCAGAAGACATGTCGAAGAAAAATTTGAAATCTCTTAATCTAAAATTAAAAATTGAGAATCATGCAATGAAAAAAATTGTCTTTTTTTTTAATCTCATAACTTCAGGTGGTGATGAAAGGACATACTCAAGGTTTTGAACATTTGAGTTAACAAGACTGATATAGGATGTCTTTTTCTGTCAAGCTTCAGCACACCTAACAAAATCTTCCTTCATTTTTCCCTGTCTGCTCCATAATATAATTAAACTGATCATCACTATTAAAATTGTCAGATATTCTGAAACAAATGATACCTAAAGCATTTCATGGAATGCATAGCAGGAAAATTAAGACAATTTTAATAATTTCTGCATATCAGATCCTTGATGACTAAAACTTTGCTAAAAGAAGATAGAAGTACAGGATAGTTTTCCTAAGTGTGACCTTGGTGAAGACTGTCCTAATGCTGTCTCAAATCAACTTCCTGATAACCCTGGAATAAGCAAGAGAAGACTGAATCATAGAGGCAGCAGAAAGGAGAAGAGAAGCTGAGATACCTCCCAGGAGAGAGGCTGTGAGGAGGCTAGAAGATGCAAAGGTGGTCATGGATGGAAGACACACTGCTGTCCTGGGACAGAGTGGCTCCACGCCCTCAGTTCTGAAAATAACAGAAGGGAGAGCAAGTGTTTGCAAGGAAGGGAGGATATTTTACCTTTTGCCCAACAGAAGGCTGATTTTGCATGCTGATGACTATGGCACTGCCTGCCTATTGCCAGGTAGGATGTGTGTTTCTAGAGTAAGAGCAAAAAAGTGTGTCTCAGAGATTATGTTCCGTCTCAGTACACGAAGTCTTATTTTTGATGAGTGCTTTTGACCATGAAATCTCACCAGTGTTACTCACATCACAACAAATTAGAGAAACACTCTAATTTAAGGTGGACACCACTTTGGTTTTCCTAAACATAATTAATCACTTGATTAGGCTACTCTTGCAAAACCAATAGAGGTAAAATAAAATACATATACATGTAACTTTTCTTCCAGGATGTGACTGGCATCAGCGAAGTTAGGGTCAGATTGGAGGGGATTGCAAATAATACATCAGGGGTAGCCTCTATGTGTAATGTTGTATAAATTGAACTAAATAAAAAAAAAATTTCCCTTTTCCAAATGTGAATCAACTGGCTTTACAAATAGAATTTTATGCATGAAAAATAAGTTAGAAAAATAGGGTAAGCTTAATAGTTAATTTTTAAGATAGAATAGAATAGAACAGCATAATTTCACTTGGAAGGGACCTTCTAGACCACTTCAAGGCTGACCAAAAATTAAAGCATATATAAGTGCATCATCCAAATGCCTCTTAAATACTGTCAGGCTTGGGGCATTTGCCACCTCTCTAGAACTCTTGTTCCAGTGCTTGACCACCTTCGCAGTAAAGAAATGCTTCTTAATGTCCAGGCTGAAACTACCCCGGTGCAGGTTTAAACCATTCCCACATGTTCTGTCACTGGGTCCTAGGAGAAGAGTTCAGTACTTCTTTCTCCATTTCGCCACCTCAAGAAGCTGTAGAGAAAACAAGGTCGGCACTCACCCTCCTTTTCTCCAAACTAGAAAAGCTCAAAGTCCTGAGCTACTCCTCTAAGGACATCCCTTCCAGCCATTTCACCAGCTTTGTTTCCCTCCTCTGGATGCATTCAAGGGCCTTCTTAAACTGCAGGGCCCAGAACTGCATGCAGTGGTCAAGGTGAAGCCATGACAATACAACACTGAATATAGCAGGACAATCCCTTCTTTTACCCAGCTGGTGATGCTGTTTGATGCACCTTGGGGTGGGGTTTGCCCTCCTAGCTGCCAGAGCTCACTGCTGGCTGACTTACACTGAGCTGCTGCCCACCAGCACCCCCCGATCCCTCTCTGCAGGGACCCTCCATTACCTTCCAGCTACTCCTCTCAGAATTTATGCTTGTGCCTTGTGTTACTCCATCCTATGTGCAGAATCTGGCATTTGGACTTCTTAAATTTCATTCTATTAATCATTGCCCAAGACAGAGCTGTAATAAGGCTGCACAGTCATGCCTTATGCTTGCAGACATAGTTGCCACAGCCCTGCAATCCCAATGGCCATCTTGGGACTACCACTGCCAGCAAGGCTCATTTCTCCCTGCTTTGTTCCTGTGAGCCTTTTTTTGGTACATCCTGCTCCTGTATTGACTGTTCTTCTGATTTCACCTGCTTTAAAGATAACAGATGACTCTTGGTTTCACTTGCAGGCTATAGTTTTTGGACTCAAAATTGCCAGCCCTTGTTCTTGTGGGTGACTTTAACCTCCCGGATGTCTGCTGGGAACTCCACACAGCAAAGAAGAGGCAGTCTAGGAGATTCCTAGAGCCTATAGAGGATAATTTCCTGCTCCAGCTGGTAAACGAGCCTACCAGGGATGGGAACCTGCTAGACCTTCTGTTCTCAAACAGAGAGGGGCTGGTGGGAGATGTGTGGTCGAAGGCCATCTGGGGCACAGTGACAATGAAATAATAGAGTTTTCAATACTCAGGGATGCAAGGAAGGCCATCAATAAAACCTCTACGCTGGACTTCCAGAGGGCAGATTTCAGCCTATTCAGAAGACTAGTTCAGAGTGTACCCTGGGAAAAAACCCTTGAAAACAAAGGAGTCCAGGAGGGATGGACATGCTTCAAGAAGAAAGTCTTGAAAGCGTAGGAGCAGGTTGTCCCTGTCTGCTGAAAGGAAAGCCGGCGGGGAAGACAACTGGTCTGGCTGAACAGGGAGATTTTGAAGGAAATTGAGAGAGAGCCTACCGGTTATGGAAAAAAAGGCTGACTACTCAGGAAGAGTTTAGGAATATAGTTAGGTCATGTAGAAAGAAAATTAGAGAGACGATGGCACAACTTAAACTTAATGTTGCCACTTCTGTGAAGGATAACAAAAAGTCCTTCTACAGATACACCAATAGCAAAAGGAGAGGCAAGGAAAAACTCTATTCTTTATTGGACATGGGAGGGAATATAGATGAGGAAAAGGATGAGGTATTTAGCACCTTCTTTACCTCAGTTTTGAACAGTAAGACAGATTGTCCTGAGGACCGCTGGCTTCTGGAGCTTGTAGAAAGAATAGACCTCTGTAATCCAGGAGGAAACAGTGACCTGCTGAGCCACTTGGATCCCCAGAAGTCTATGGGACCAGATGGGATCCACCCAAGGGTGATAAGGGAGCTGGCGAAAGAGCTCGCCAAGCAGCTCTCCATCATCTACCAACAGTCCTGGCTCACTGGGGAGGTCCCAGATGATTGGAAGTTGCTAAATGTCATGTCCATCCACAAAAAGGGCTGCAAGGAGGACCCAGGAAACTACAGGTCCGTCAGCCTGACCTCAGTGCCTGGAAAGGTTATGGAACAGATCATCCTAAGTGCAATCACACAGCACCTACAGGATGGACAAGGGATCAGACCCAGCCACCACAGGTTTAGGAAGGGCAGGTCCTGTCTGACCAATCTGATCTCCTTCCATAATCAGGTGACCTGCCTGATGGATGAGGGGAAGGCTGTGGATGTGTCTCCCTGGACTTCAGTAAATCCTTTGACACCGTCCCACAGCATACTCCTGGAAAAGCTGGCAGCCCACGGCTTGGACAGGGGCACTCTGTGCTGTGTTAGGAACTGGCTGGAGGGACGGGCCCAGAGAGTGGTGGTGAACGGTGCTGCATCCAGTTGGTGGTCAGTCATTAGTGGTGTCCCCCAGGGATCAGTGTTGGGTCCAGTTCTGTTTAATATTTTTATTGATGATTTAGATGAGGGGATTGAGTCCACCATCAGCAAATTTGCAGATGACACCAAGTTAGGGGGGAGTGTCGATCAGCTGGAAGGCAGGAGGGCTCTTCAGAGGGACCTGGACAGGCTGGAGAGTTGGGCTGATTCCAACAGGATGAGGTTCAACAAGGCCAAGTGCCTTTGGCCACAACAACCCCCTGCAGCTCTACAGGCTGGGGACAGAGTGGCTGGAGAGCAGCCAGGCAGAAAGGGACCTGGGAGTTTGGATTGACAGGAAGCTAAACAGGAGTCAGCAGTGTGCCCAGGTGGCCAAGAAGGCCAATGGCATCCTGGCCTGGATCAGGAACAGTGTGGCCAGCAGGACCAGGGCAGTGATTCTTTCCCTGTACTCAGCACTGGTGAGGCCACACCTTGAGTACTGTGTCCAGTTCTGGGCCCCTCAGTTCAGGAAGGATATTGAGGTGCTGGAGCAGGTTCAGAGAAGAGGAACAAGGCTGGTGAAGGGACTGGAGCACAAGTCCTGTGAGGAGAGGCTGAGGGAAATGGGGTTGTTCAGTCTGGAGAAGAGGAGGCTCAAGGGAGACCTCATCACTCTCTACCACTACCTGAAAGGAGGTTGTAGCCAGGTGGGCATCAGTCTCTTCTCCCAGGCAACCAGCAGTAGGACAAGAGGGCATGGTCTTAAGCTGTGCCAGGGGAAGTTTAGGTTAGATATTAGAAAGAATTTCTTTACAGAGAGGGTAATCAGGCATTGGAATGGGCTGCCCAGGGAAGTGGTGGATCCTCCGTCCCTGGAGGTTTTTAGGATGAGACTGGATGTGGCACTCAGTGCCATGGTCTAGTAACCACGGTGGTAGTGGATCAATGGTTGGACTCGATGATCTCAAAGGTCCCATCCAATCCAGCTGATTCTATGATACTATGATTCTATGACCCAAGTGCTGGTGTCTGTGATCACCTATGGCAGATTCATTTGATGTGAATTTCCTCGTACTATTGCAGTAAGAAACTTTTCTACACTTCTTTTATGTTTCCTTTAATAGAAATATCTCTCAGGTAACAAAGTTGAACACATTTTACATCCAGCAGGAGTCCCTTTCATTTGGTCCCCATTTTCTTACAATTTTTTGTGGGCTGCGCAGCCATCCAGGAACAGAGTGGAAATGTTTCACTCTTGCTTTGAGACTAGGCAGCTACACTTAACATAAAGATCTGAAAAGCAGTAACAAAAATGAGCAGCCCCGTAAGGAATCAAAACTTAAGCCATTTCTGAGTAATACTGTTTTCTTAAGACTCCTCCCTTTCACAGACTATTTCTACAGCTGTTCACTTTTCACAGAATATTCTGAGTTGGAAGGGACCCACAAGAATCATCAGGCCCAACTCTTATGCGAAGGCCCATATGGGGATTAAACCCACAACCTTGGTGTTATTAGCACCATGCTGTAACCAACTGAGCTAATCTCAGGGTTATCACACAGGTTCTCTATGTTTTTCAGCTAACAGAGACACTGTGAGTCAGTACTGTAAGCCAAAAAATACTGCTTTAGCTGACAAAAGGTATCTCTTCATTTCACCCGCAAAAGAAATGAGCAGAAAGAAGCAATTGTTTTTCCCTTTGGTCAAACCAAAGCACCGAATGGAAGACTTTATGTTGACAAAGAAAGGTGACTAAAATGGGGAATGTCAGGAAGGTGTATTTTTGCTCTAGCTACTTTGTTGTGAATGATGAATAACACTACTAGAGTAAATGTCATCATTTAGTTTTAAAAAAAAGAAGCCAGTGTAAATAAAGGCAAGTCCTAATGATAATGATTTACATCAGAATCAGGTCTCAGTTATTTCAATACACTGTTAGTAGTATATCTTTAAATTTCAAATCGGTCCGGTGAAATGAATAATATTCTGTTCTCTTCTATGAGGATGCAGATACTGCTTCTGCTAGCTATCAAGACCTGAAGGAAACAAGTATTGGACTTTAAAGGTTGTTGGTTTGAAAAATTGCATAATGAATTTCTGAGTCTTCCAAGTGGAAGGTTTCTTATCTCCTCTACTGTTTATTTTTAAGTTTTTGCCAAATATGGATGGCTCTGGGTATAACTAATGACTTTTTACACTACAAACACGTGTTAAGGGTTACTCTATTGCATGTTAGAATATTTCTGTGGAAGTTTCCTGCCTATCTTTATCTATGAGGAAGTATTATGTAAGAAGTAAAATATCTAATTTTTTTAGTTTGAAGGATTTTAGTTTTGAGAGGTGCTTCTGCTGATTTACTCTTTGACATTGGTTACATTTTTTTAGAATTAAAAATATTTGTTTAAACATTATATCTATTACATATTATATATTTACCAAAAAAAAAGTCTTTAATTTTGCAAGATATATTCACTTCTCATGCTCAATACACCAAAATAGACCTCTCAATTTGCTTGTACACCCTTGCCTTAGACAGTTCATTGCTCAGGTAGAGTAAGGGACATACAACAGTATGGATGACATTATTCCTTAAATCCATATACAATACTTTCATCTATTGCTAGTTTATTAGTAGTACTGTGAATTTTTAAATAACCTATTTTTTCTTATAAACTTATTATGGCATTTCATTCATTCTACTATAGCACTGAGATACTCAGCTGAGTATTCTGAAATACTCCTAAGGCTGGTTCTTTTGCATCTTTTAGAACCTAAACATTTGGCTAGCACTTCCCACAGGCTCATTTTAAAAGATTTTTTGTGTGGGAAGCTTAAAAGATGTTTCATGTTTGCTGGGATTCTGTGGGATCTTAAAAATGATATTTATAAATGTGTGTTATACTGAAAGATGTTTATGATGTCAACACACTGAAACTCACACTCATAAAAAATGCCTCCTGCTTTTATTTTTTCTGCGAGGAAGAAAGAAGAAATCTGTACTTAGAGTACCTCTTTCTTTTCTTTATAAGAGAACAGGCAAAGAAAAGACTTAAATTATTCAATCTGAGCAGGAAGAGCATATAATCCTAAAAATGTAGATCATACTTTTCTCACCAATGACAGTGTCATTTTTTCTAGCCTATATGTAATTTATGATCATTGTTACTTGTGCCCAGGAGTGATATGCTATTTAAAAATAATGTGTGATTCCATTAAAACTAGCAGGTACCTTATAAAGACTTTCTCTGTTGAAAATGTGCAGGTGAGTTATTACAGTTTAAAATAGAAGAAGTAGAGCTCTGGTGGATTTTCCTCAGCATTGAGCAACCTGCAAACTAAAGTCAAATATTATTTTTATACCTGCCTATAGGATTCACAGAGACCAACTGCAACAGCTGTAATTGAAAGTCAAATAAAATACACTGCCCCACATGCTGCTGTATAAATATAACAAGCTCTATTTTTTAGCCAAATTGCTTTCTTCTTTTAGATGTTGCTGACTACAGCAAAATCATGAGTCTGCGTACTGTCCTTTTCCCTTTGCCAACAAGTCAGAGAAACTTTTTTGAAAAATACAAGAAAACTAACTTGCAGGCACTTTTGTCTCATTTTCCACTTAGCTAGTTCATTTGTTTAAAACTGACTCATTTGATAAACAGTGAACAATCACTTGGTATTGTTACAGATATGAATGTAAGTGTTATCTAATTTTCCAATTAGCAGGAAGAATTTAGACATTCTTGTGTCTTGCGTTTGTCTCACTCCTGGCATCACTGATACAAATTAATGTCCTTGTTCCCTTTACACTCTCTGGAATACAAAAAACAGTGTAAATCGATATCTATTTCATCTTCTGAAGGACAGGATCTGTTTCCACTTGAACAGCTGAAACGGTAACTTACACCAAGACTGGATTCTACATATGCGGAAACCCTAATTTCCAGTAACCTTAAAAAGAATTTAAGATCTTTTGCAACCTGGACTATCAGATCTGAATATAGCATCATATCCCTTGGCCACAAGAATTTAAAGCTTGATCTAGTGCTCCCTGCAGTCAGTGGAAAGATGCTAATTGTCTTCAGCTTACTTTGGACGACAACAGGATCTCATGGTCCAACTCTGCAAACCAAAACAAAGTAAAGCCTCCAGCAGCCCCTTTTCCTCCCTATGAAGGTTGGTCAAGCTTGGGAAGTAAGAGAGAAATGACAAATTGTCAAGACTGTGAAAATGAAATAAAAATAAAAAACCAGCTTCTTTTAACCTCTCAGTTAAATTTTGCAGCACAAAAGAAAGTTTGTTTTTATCACTGAAATATTGAAGTATTTTTATAAAGACTTCACCTGTCTGAAGGTGAAAAAACCCATGATTTTAAGTGAGCAGTTCAAAAATTTTTCAGCAAAAATCAGAAGGATGGCAGAGCTTGATCTGTTCAGTATGTCGATAAGGGTTGTCATAAATGGGAGCAGCTTCTTAGCTCCTGTTAATGCCTGATAAGGATAGTCTCATCACCTGCTAGCAGTAACCTGAGTTTTCACAAGCTGTGTTTGTTCACTTTGTGACTCTGCAAGGATGCCACTACCTTTGGAAATATGGGTTGACATTGAGAATGTTTCTGTAATTGTGTTTTCAAATCTTTCTATTAGTGACTCTACCTGCATCCTGCTGAGAAAGACTCAGTCATCTGCTACAAAAATAGCGAAGTCATTACTGGATACCAGTGTCTCTGTGCAGGAAACCACATAGGTTAATCATGAGCAGAGACTTCTCTGTTTTGAATGAGAAACCCATAACAGTTCCTCTTATGTGAGCAGAGCAAGTCATCAGAGGTCAGCGCTTCAGCTTGTCTGTCATGAGACACACAGGGATGTTTTCCCTCCTTGTAACAGCAAGAAGCCTTAGATTCAACTAAGATTGAGAGGGGAGCCTCAGCTTCAGTACCACTTCCTAAGGACTGTGGTTTTTACTTTGTTTAATAGGGAAAACTTATGTGATCCTATTCTATCTCTGCTTGTCTGCCTTGCCTCCCAAATAACTTACCTCCCCAAAAAACACTGGCCAGTGATCCAAACTGGTAGAAGTTTTCTGGTTCCTAACACAATCTGCTTTTTATGAGTGCCAAGCAAAAAAAAAAAAAAAAAAGGGAGCTAAGGCAGCCTGTTCAGGGCCTCCACTGATGAAAGTGGAGGTTTAACCTTGATTAGACATCAGAGGATCCACATAGAGTAAGCCATTATTAATATTGTCAAGAAGTGAAAAGCTTCATTCATAGATCTTGCCTGCTTAGACATCAAAGTCAACCAACCTCAAAAGAAATCTGCGGGGAACCAGGCATCCTTAGTTCTCATATTGATCATATTACTCGTTCTGAAAGTTTCATCTGAGCTCTGGCAGTGCCTGACCTTGCAGAGGGAACATAATGTACAAACAAGGTGAAAGCCTGTACTTGCTTTTTTTCTAAGAGTTAACACCAGGTGAATAATTGATAGCAAATCATATATTTGGTAAAACATCTTGTTTTCTGCAAATAACTTCCCCAGAAAAATTACATTTGATAAAATGATATTGTTTTCTAATAAAAGTCCCAAAATCTCCAATCAATTATTTGTGTGTGTCGTTTGCAAAACATTCAGTGTCTGCTACTGTAAATCAGAATAAAAGCTTTTCAGTTGGGCACAAGGTATAAATTTGTTCTTTATAGAAACAAATACAATATGATCATGGACCAAACCAAAAGAAACTTTGAAATTCAAAACTAATCTTCTAGGCAATTTCTAGGCCATATATGTCCAAACCTAGATGATACCACCTTTCCCTTCAAGACACAGTCTGTCTCAGAAGGCATCTGTTAAATAAGGCATTTATTTTGTTTGTGGAATTACTATGACTGTCACTGGCAATTTTTGCAAAGAGAACAGAACAGAACATGCAATGAAATTATCCATTGTGATTCTTAAACTTCATCAGATAATTAAAAAATGGCATTGTACTTTCATAAAGTTTGAGATAGGGTTTTCTATCAACAGTTTTTAGGGACAAATATTTTCAGAAAACAACCTGGATGAAGGACAAAAGGCAGACCAGA